AAAATACATCTTAGTTACTAAGTTTGATAAATTATAATCAAATTTTATGGTATTGATGTAGTAATTTATGATTTTTTTAGTTATTCAAATGCATATATAAACCTAAAAAAAATTATTTTGTTTCACATCCTCCATGTGCAAAATTTTTAAAGGCTTAGCAACCTATGTCAAGCAGCAACTGAGTATAAAGATCATAACTAGAAGAGATAATTGTTTGCTTTACTTCTTTATTTACTGTTCTATGTTTCAAGAAAAATAATTTTAAGAACTTATTTCAAAATAGCAATAATCTATGTACATTTATAATTTATAATAATTGAAATGTCACTGTATTTTACAAATACTAGTACACTAAAACAAGTTACTTTGTACAGACCAAAGGTCAGTTTTATGTTATTAGATATGGTAAGACGAGTGCTGCTTTATTGTAACTTCTGTATTGTTAGCCAGTCACAGCTGAAAGGTGAATATACTAAAAATAAGTATATAGAAAATGTATAATATTACAAAATTTGAGCTATTTAGTCTAAACATTCATGTTTTCGTCTTATAATCTGTGTTCATTCTAGAATGAAAGAGGCATAATTTATATTTATTTCCTAAGTTTTATGGTGGTTATGAGATCAGTCAAATCTACCAAACCTGTACAGAGATTCATTACTGAAAATAACAGATAAAATATAAATTTTTGTCTTAAGAAACGTTAGATAACTAATCTAGACATTATAAAGATTTCGTATGTGAAATTTGAAAATTTTCTGATGCATGAAATATACGTAAAATATGCATAAAAAATTTGATATTTTGCATATGAAAGCATTGTAATGTTTACTGATAATGTGCCAAATTTTGTTAACAATCGCTTACTAATTAAAAAGTCATAGCATGAAAATTATAACAAGCACAAACTGGTTATGAGGTTGGTCCCAGGGACCGAACCCAAGCTGAAAGAGTTAACAGTTCAAAACTGAGGACATTCTGTTTCAATAAGTAATTTTTGACTAATTGAAAACTATGATATGTGTTTTTAAAATACTGGAGGCATAATTTTTCCAAGAAAATTTGGGTTAATGCCCTACCAACTGATTTTATAGATGGTGCATTTAGATATGCCAACCCTAACTGATAGGAAATAAGAATACTAAAAGTGCTTACATTTGATATCCATTTTGGTGCTGGATAAGTTAAATTATTTATTTGTTTTTTTTAAGTTTTTATGAATCTTCCTACAGCAAACTACCTCAGAGCTCTTGGGCAAACAGTTTAATTTTACTAATACACCAACTAATTGGAGCAGTTACAAGATTCTATAGGTATTCATACTTTAAAAGACAAACAAATGTCTTACCTTTCAACAGAATGCTTTAGGGTATACAAAACCTCAAATGTGTGTATTTTCTTCAATAATGCCGTCACAGCTACAGTTGCACGAGTTGACTATTAAAAAAAAAATCTTGAATAAAAAGTAGAATGCGCATTATTCCATAAAATAAATCCCATGTTTCTTTTAAACTAAAACATCAAAAGAAAAGGATAATAAAAATATTTCAAATTTTCCAAATTTCAGTTGAAACTTGTAAAATATTGTATTTTAATACCTGAAAGGAACCTTATGCAACACATTGACTAAATGAACAGATTACTAATCCCTAGAGTTCAAGTGTAACAACATTCCTTATTTTGAACTGTTGATACCAGCTAAAACAAGCACTTCACCCGGCTCTTTGAATTGAATAATAGGATTTATTGTCACTCTAAAAATGCACCCACAGGTGAAAGTGCACAGTATATTCAGCAGCATCACCTCTCAAACCTTGGGCCATTTGATCCAAAGGTTATTATTTAACCATATCTGACATAGAAAATTTTCAAAGTCAAATTTTTAAAGACTTCATCTTTAAATTAATATTTTAAACCCTTTGTCATTTGATTAAAATAATTATCAAATGCACAAATTTCATGATGTTGCTAACTGTTTAAAACTGCACTACCTTTAGTTCACAGCTATAAAAAAAATTGAATAAAATGCATATTTACCTGCTTTTTCATCATTATTTCCAATAGTCTTTGATAACACGTAACAGATGTTAAAACTTCCCCGGCATCTTCTTTGCTATTTTCTAAAAAACATTTAACAGTGTTGTACAATGAAAGGACTATACATAAAATGAAACTTTATTATACATTAAATGATTCTCTGTTATGGTCACTTTCACATTAGCAATACCATTTTCAGCACTTAAGATAATGAATATTAACATTTTCCTATAATGAAAATATATTTCCAATTGATACTCACCTTTATTTTCCTTGCACATATGCCTATGATATTACCTAAATTCACATGTTTAATGTGAACTGCATTGGTGCATGATTATATCATCATGCAACAATAGCTCTCCACCAATAGGAGGGTGAAACAACTTCTATGAACAGTAACTTCCCCTATGCACTTGCAAGAAAAAAAAAAGGTGCACTGGAAGTAAGAAGTTCAGGTGGGAATGTTTGAAGAGGTGAGCAGCTATCAGATTAGGAAAATGTTAACTTTCAAGGTAATAACTCACCTCTTCAAACAGAATTGATAGAATCCCATGTTGAAGTAGTGGAGGGGCTGGTGCAAATGTTAAACCTAGATGGACTCCATTCAGAAAACACTCAAAGGGTAAACACATGGAGTGTGAAACCTGATGAAAGGGGTTCCATAAGAGCAAACCCATGGGGAGACTGCATCTCATTTTGACCAGGGTATACTCTTAGCCCGGAATGCAAAAAGCCACAAGTATTGCAGGGATGGGAGGAGTTCAAACAACAGGCCTAGTATGTAGAGACCAGTCCAAGGATAGAATGTGGTCCAGCCAAGAGAGGTGGTCCACAACAAGGTTCATAGTCATAGTTCCTAGTACACAACAAGCAAAAAGACAAGTCCTATGTGAATGAGCCCAGAAAGGTAGGTCCAATGCTCAAAAACAAAGAGTCCTGGAACTAATGTCCCCTTAACAACTAATGTAAGAAATGACCATGAAATTGTCAGAGTAGATCATGACCAACTGGTCTATCAAAAGTGGAAGGAAATGAAAACATACCTGACCTGATGAACAGCAAAAAGTTAAAGCATGTTGATGTGCAGTGCACTCTCCTTCTGTATCCAAATGTAGTCATGTCATAATTCAGAAATGTAACCCAGAAATACAAAAGAGGGGAGCATTGGTAAAGAGATGAGGATCTTGTCTAACCGCTATGACAATTCCTTGAGGAGAGTTCCACAATCAAGGACAATGGATCTCAAGAAAGGTTCCACTGATTTTGCAATGTCCACTGGAGGAGGCTCATTGAATTAGCAACAAATTACATTATTTCCATGACCATCAATAGAAATACTAAAATTCATGCTTTTAAAGGACTTCCTCACCCTTGACCAATGTAGTTATTATATATTATGCAAGAAAAATATGATAAACAATGTATCCATAGAGTATTAAGAAAACCTACTCCGACAGATACATCGAAAACCAAGACATGCCATAATTATAATTATACAGTGTTCTACAAAATGTATGAAAAAAAATATTATTACCTAATGATAAATTGTTAGGATTTTCCTTAACTCCATTGAAAAGATGTTTTTCATCTTGTTCTAGTGGTGGAAGCTTACACTGGTGGTGGAGAATGTGATCCATCCCAGCAGCTGTGTAAACTGCTGCATCTAGAGCTCTGATGATCAACAGTTTCAGTGGCAGAGTCATGTAGGGCTGACTGTATAGTTTCAACAAGTGTGCTGGAACTTCCAGTTCCTTTATCAAAGAATACAAAAAAAAATTCATAGAAAATGAATGACTCTTGTCACTGCTTGAATACTAATGCAGTAGTACTGGCTCAATAAATAGGTAAAAAAAACATTAATCTTTGCCTATTATTTTTGTTTTAAACTCAAGTCTCATTATATAAATTGTGTAAACAGGCTTACTTTTAGATTTTATAAATGTATACAATATTAAGTTTGCAAATCTTGTCTTATTTTTTTGTTACTTCACTTTACTAACCTTTTATCAAACAATATTTCAAAATTTATTTTAATCTAATACATAAAAAGTACAACAATATTTTTAATTAGCTAATCATATCTTGCACCCTCTTCTCAAAGTCAAAGCTAATATTTCATACCATTTTTTGTTTACTTTATAAATGCTACTAATCAAATGGCACTATAAAAACATTTTATGATATTGAGAGTTTCTTTGTAAAGAATACTAAAGTTATTAACAAAATCTCCCTTTCATTAATAAAGAAACAGGAACCTGCCTCTTGGTGGTTCTGCAGTAACCTTGAGAGCTTATAATGCTAAAATTCAGGGTTTGACCTTTGTGGTGGACACAGCACAGAGCCCATTGTGTAACTTATTGTGTAACAATAAACAAACAGACAAAAACTGAAAAGTTAGGAAGAACCATAACTGATAAATCAAAAATGTTATTGTGAAGCTTTTCTCTTGTATGTGATTATTCTTTTTAGCTTATCGGTTCCTTAACTTAATCCAAGTACTTCAAAAAATCACACCACATGTTCTTCAGTGGGTAAGTCCTAAAAATACTAATTTTTGCTTTCTTTTAAAACTTTGACCTGGGGTTGCACTTTAAAAAAAGTATATAAAACATGGTATGCAAACCTGAAAAGTCTGAGAAAAACTGCTTTAGATACTAAAGATATTGTGGCTGCAAATACAGATATTTTGACATCGAAAAATTCATTTTTTTATCAACTGTTTTGAATTTCAATGTTTTTATATCAAATTTACCAAGTTTCTCTATTCTTATGTTTATATACATGCAGTTAATTACTGTTGTTCTAATCTAATAGAAGTACCCACAAATTATTTTCTATAAACATGGTGTTAGGATTTGATCTTAATCAAAAACAACAATATCTTGATTTGTCAAATTTCATGTAAAATTTTGCATATATTGTGCGATAAACAGTTTACCTCAAAGAATTTGTGCACTATTCCCAACAGATAAAGATTAGATAACCTCTTTAGCAAGTAGACAAGATGAGACAGGAAATAAAATGTTCACTCATGAAGATAGTATCTGTTGTACTTAAGTTTTGATTTGTTACAGTTGGGGATACATTTGTACCAATACTAGTCCCCTGGACATCATACTTACTTCTACTAAGGACATCCAATGGTGCAAAGTATGAACTATAAGATTAAGTGTAGACACAAATTTTGAATGTAAAGCTAATTGTTTTATGTTCAAAAATGCATGTCATACACCAGGGAAAACTGAATGATAATGGTAGAAAGTTCCATAGACAATCTACGTACTCAGTGTATTCAAGAGTTCTGAAAGAAGAGGAGAAAAGAAATTATACAGAAATGTTTATTAAATTGAGAGAAGTTCCAAATAGCAACATTATTGTAATTGAAGGCAGGTATACCACAGAGTTGTTTCACTTGTATTACCAATGAATACCTCTGCTCTCTTGAATGTATTTGTTTTTTACTACAGTGCTGCGTAAAATGATGGATGAGGGTTGCAGAATTTGTAAATGATTTTACTCGCAGCACTTCAAGTCACGTTCAGAAGTTATTCTGAGATTCATCCAATATTTGATATTTTCACAATGAATGGCACTACATATTATGGATAAGCTAAATAATCAGGTCAGGGATCCTTATAGTGTATGCATAACCATTTCTAATTTGGAACAGTTAAATAGGAGGAGGAACATCAACCAGCAGCACCCACTGCCTAATATGTGGCTATTCTTAACTAAAGAGTGGGACTTACTGTCACAGTTATAAATACCCTACAGTTGAAACTGTAGAGGGTGCTCATCACCATATCGCAACTTGAATCTTGGACACTACAACATGCATGATAAATAACCACTAGTTCATGTTTAGTCTTACTTTCAATCATTTTTGGTTTCAATATAAAATGAACAAATGAATAGAACAGAGAGTTAAATCTTCATCAAAATAAATTATACAATTTTTAAGCAAACAGGTATAATTTTTATATTTTTTAATCTAGATCCATATGCGCACATAACAAATTCAACTTTCACCTAAAATGTGTAATTTGATGAAGATTTCTTGAATAAAATAAGAAAAATACTCTGAAGTAATTTGTAATAGAAAATTTTAAAATAACTTTCTGTCACTAGCTTTAAAAAAAAAGAAATCTTAATAGATTAAAAATATATACAGAAAATATATATGTACTTAATTACCTGAATATAAAATAGACAACATTACTCACCAGAAGCTTATCTACAATATGCTTGTCAGTACAGAACAGTGATGATGCCAGTCTAATGCCAGCCTTCATGTGACGCACTTTGTAAGCAGCCTGAGGTTGTTTTAAAGCAGCATTAAAATCAAGTCCTTCGAGAATCCATTCAATTAAGGTCTGGATAACAACTATGAAGGTGACAAAAATCAAGTGTAGAGCTTCAATTATCTCTCTAGGAATCAGCCGTTTGAACTGTGCTTTATAATTTGGTTATAATTATTAACAAAACTTAGAGTGAGCTGTATGGCCATAATGTGAGCTTTAGCCACCATTCTAGTCACTACAGCTAATAGCTAAATTTAATAAACTGAAGCTTTAGAGTTATCTTGTGCAACATGGGAGATATAATGAAAACAACAGTATAGTCTAGCTACTATTGTGCTTAAAAAATAAAGTAAAAAATACAGCGGTAACTAAATACATCTTCGTGATTTCAAAAACAGTAGTTTTCAGCTTCTTTAGTCAGCAAGTACAGAGCAGTTAAGATACTACATCCATAATGATGAAGAGCCCAAAAATGGCTTATAGGCACCCAAGGCAGAAAAACAAATAAAGTGATTTACTCTTTATTGTAGAAAAATATTTCTACAATGTGGAATATAAAACTTTTATCAATGCCAAAACAAAGCATATCATAAATTATATATATATTGTTTAATAAAAAAACAGGAAATTGCACTGAATATTTTAGGAAACCATTAATAAACTAATTACCTGCTTTCTCCTTAGAACTTTATCATTCTTAGCAAGCAATACACCTTTTCATATTGTTACCCTTACATTTATTGCATGTGTATTAAAAAATATCAAATAAGCTTAACAATTGTATGAATTTTTGTCATCCTACAATTAAAAACAAATTCAAACCTTGATACATTTCATGATTCCTTAAGCCACTTAATCCAGGGATCAATTGTGTATTTGCTACAGTCTCCACAGCTTCAACCCACCTGAAAAAAAAATGTAAAACTAGATTCCTGCTTTTTGGGTGAATGCAAGTTTTTGTTTCATAATCAGGTTAAAAATCAAGTCCAAGCAACAGGAAATAATCTATAACATAGAGAAACCTGAGTACATACAGACTTAGTTTATATACCACTTCATCAGAGATCACCTACCTACAACTACAAGTTGTTTTGTTTTAATGACTCAGTTACAATTTTCTAAATCTTTTATTCTACAAAACTTTCTTACAACCGAACATCTATAACACTGTAACTTACATTGTTATATAAGAATAATATCCGGAATAAACGTATCTTCTTAATCCCAATGGATTTCTTAGATCTTTTATATCATAACTGCCTGCTCACCACTAAACCCAATTCAGTGACTATAAAAAAAGTAAAAAATAAAAATATATACTGAATGGATTAAGAAACTAATATTTTATCTTACTTTTCCAAATGCTCCTTATCCACAAAATGCTCCACAGTATCAAGTAGCTTCTGAGATTCTTCAGAAATCCCTTCTTTAATCAAAGAAACTGTTTTCAGCTTTGTTATTTCATACAGTGTTAAAGAAGGGTCATGAAAATGCTGTAAATGAGGAAAGAAATTAAAAAGTCATTTTTAGTAATCAGAGGAAAAAAAATGGGTACTCAAGATCAAACAGATTAAAATTATATATACACATTAATTTAGAAGCATAGTAAAACAGAGTAAACATGTTTTATTAACTGAACATCTCTGTATGATGAGCAACTTAAACGTCTAGAAGTTTCTCATATTCATGGAATACAGTAATCTCCAGGAATTATAACCATCATAAATATTTTTTGATAATGTTACATTTATAGTGCAGGAATCAAAACAATAATCCACTATTTGCTGCACAGACATAAAAAGTTATTGTATAAAGACAACATTTCAATTTCATCCATAAGCAGCGAGTTACCTTTATGAAGTCACTTACCATCTGAACTGTTCATGTTGCAGAAGTGTTTTTGACTAATTATGAAGGCTGACAAAGTACTGGATCAATGTAAGTATGCTATTGCTAACATGTTCAAAGTTCTATCATGTCCTTCTGAATAGTGTTCAGTTAGCACAGGCTTACCATGCAAACTTGTACACACTATCCAATTAGAAAATTTAATTTAAAGCTGTAAACATGAATAGCCATAAGCTTTTTGCTTGTTATAAAATAAGCAAAAAAAGAATAGTATGTTGCAAAGCTCAAGCAATGTAAACGTTGAAATAATAAGCTAAAAGCTAATCAATACCAAGATTATTCACAGGTACACACATCAAAATAAATATAATCCATATTTCTAACGGTAATATTTTACTGTCAAAAAAATTAACAAAAGCATTTTTTTTTTCAGTTTATAGCCTAAATTAATATAAAAATCACATCTATAATATCAAGCTTCTATCTTTTGCTTCTTCCTTCTATCTGATTTTCTTGCTGTAACTGCTCAGAAAAGAGAATTTTACTGCACTCACTTTAATTCTGTTTCAGAGAGACATAAGTGGGAAGCAACCAAATGCAGTACAATCTTTCAGTATTAAGACCATAAAATATAAAGCGAATCTTATATACACAGACTAATAACAATGTTCCAGGTGCAATTACAAAAATTAATGTTTTTTTAGTCAATGTATTATACTTAGGAAGAACTAAATTAATATGAGTTAATAACACTTTGACTCATAAAGTTTAAAAGTGAACATCAATCAAACAACTGCAAAAAAGTAAATTTCTGTAAAAAAGTAAAAAAAGCATTCATTTTTGATGACATAATAAGGTGAAGTACTTGTAATATGGCTGAAACATTTTTTCTTATACAGGCTTGTCAATTATCAAGCTAGCTATTAAGCCAGTAAGATATTCAATTGCAATAGTGTATCTACAATATGAGATGTGAAATAAATTATGCTTTATAAAATTAATAATTATAAAACCTAATATATTTACTGAAACCTCTTCCAATTTAAAAAACAAAATTGTAGATACAATGTAATTTGAAGTGAATTGCAACATACCTTTTTTTCTTCTTCTTTTCAAGTACTGCTAATTAACACATTAAACAATAGCACGGGAAACTTACACCTAGGCATAATGTTAACACTATTACTTGACAATTACTATTGGTTATGGTTAGTAGGCATCTTCCAAAACTGGAGTGGATATAATGAAACAATCACTAGGGAGTTTGCTACACAATATGTGGACCAATTAAATAACTGAAGCACATGGCTATTATTGGTAACTTAGGAATATGGTTTGGAAATTTGAATATTATCAGCACTATAATCCAGAAAAAAAATAAAA